TTTGAACAGGAGAAATTCACACTTTTCTTTTATTTTTTTGGTGAATATGTGATGAACAAATGATGTTGTTTTCATTTTATAGAAGAAGATATGTGATTTTTAGTTATTTTTCTGAAAACTAACTTGAATAACTGTGATGTCGAACATGTGGTTTTTAATTGTTTTTTGCAGCCAAGACTCACCAATGATAATTGGTTTTATCTTTTGATGAATTCCAGATTTAACTAGCTTTTTTTTTTTTTTTTGCAGCCAAGACTTACTAGTGATAACTGGTGATATTTGTGCAAAACTCCTGATGATAACTAGTTTTCTATACTGATGAATACCAATTTTAATTGTTTAGTGCAAAACTCCTTATGAATACCAGCTTTTAACTGGATTTTTGCAATCAAAACTCTTGTTGAATACCGGTGTTTAACTAGATTTTTGTTGTAGTCAAAACTCTTAATGAAATCCAGATTTAATTGGATTTTTTTTCTTTTTTTTGCAGTGAAAACTCCTGATGAATGCTAGTTTTAACTGGAATTTTTTAGAGTCAAAACTCTTTATGAAGACTATAGTTGCTGGACTTTTTTTCCAGTCAAAACTCCTGATGAATTCTGGATGTTTAACTGGATTTTTATCAAACACAAAACTCTTGATGAATGCCAGTTTTTAATTGGAATTTTGTTGCAGTCAATACTCCTGATGAAATCCATATTTTTAACTGTTTTTTTTTTTTTTTTTTTGCAATTAAGACTCCTGATGAATTCCAGAATTTTAACTGGATTTTATCAACCAAAACTTGCTAGTTCTAGGTGTTCCTGTAGAAGTCTGAACAAAATCAGATGGAATGAGAGTCTAACGACTGGTTCTTGCAGGTTGGCTCAATTTCTACATGAACCTGGGAGACTGCAGGTTAGAGTTTCTTGATTGGTATCAAAGATTGAATGGTGGGAACTTCTAAGTTCCTGCACATTCTGCGATCATTCAAATGATGGTTCTTGTTAATTGTGGTCTTGAAAGGGTAGACTGGATAAGGGACCTAGCCTTTGGCAATTATTGCACAGAGTTGTCATTCTAAGACTCAAAGTCAAACTGTCAGCCCAAGAATTTATCATTCCAATTAGGTTGGATCACACTGTATGCATTAAGATGCAAGTTAGGGTAAGGGAGGCTTTTAGTAATTTGATAGGATGTTAGTGGGTTGCATCACACTGTGGAATTATTAACTTTTCCTCATCTTCCATTAAGATTAACATTAGTAATATGATGGGATGTTAATAGATTAAGGTGAACAAAGGTTTTTACCTTTACTATTTGCTGGCAAAGTGAATTTCTAACATTTTTCCCTTTTAAATATTGAACATGATAGAAACACTCAACCACATGCAAAGTCATCTACCAAATGTTAGTTTGCATCTCAATTTGCTTAGTCTATTAATCAATCTGGAGTGCTACCAACTTGTTTTGCTAGTAGTGAAAGGTTTCAGGACCTCATGATCATGATCAGATTGTATATAAGAAAGATCCTGAATGTGAACTTTCCATTAAAAGAAAGCTTAATTTCCAGAATGTGAACCCATTACCCCATAATAATAAGGTCCCCATCATCAACTTCAATGTAACCATTCTCATACAATAAGGGAGGTTCATTAACAACCAAACTCTTCGCATGACCAAAACAAAACAAAGATACAAATAATCCTAGCTCTTGTACATGTACATAAGTAAGACTCCCATGATCTTCAGTCCTTCAGTAAAACTGCATGTTGGGAGTAGGGGTGTCAATTGGACTGGATTTGGTCCAATCCGATCCAGTCCAATGTGAGTCCATTACAAATGGATTTGGTCCAATCCAGTCCAATGGATATTTTTGGACCAGTCCAGAGGCTGTCTAATCTGTTCAAATTCCTGTTAATTTAGATCGGTTTCAACTCAATCCTGGTCCATTGACACCTATATTCTTATCTTCTATCAACGGACCAGATATTGGCTCAATCTAATATAAATTCAATATGGACGGACCAGGTCCAATCCAATATGTCATATTGGTCCATCCTGTCCGTCCAAATTCAATCTGTCTTATTGGTCCATCTAAATCGTCTTAATTGATTTTGATTTGAACGGAGTCAAACCCAAAACCGGTCCATTGACACCCATAGTTGGAAGGATTCCATAGCCTTCATACTATGGTCCAAATCAGCTACTAATACCTTAACCTCTCCAATACAATTTTCCAGGTAAACCGTTCTTGAGATGCCCTCATTAGAAAAGTTCATGGGAATTACCCACTGAAGAAAAAAAATTGCATGGTAGAAGTTTGCTGCCCTGAATACAACCAAATGGAGGCCAGCATCCCTTCAGTGCACTAAATATCAAACATTAGTTAACTTATTTGCTTAGAAAATCCTATTCGGATTATAGTCTGTTTCCTAAACCCGAATCACAGTCCTCTTACCACATTTACAATCCCTTGGACTATACTTAAGGTACCTAGCATGTTGATCGGCACTTGACTGAGAAGAAGACTTCCCTACACACCGAAATAGAAAAAACCACCTAAATAATCCTTCACACATGCAATTGCAATTAAATATGTAAAGTGGAGTCTTCCTTCTTCGTCCGTTTAAGTCCACCTCTTCGTCCGGTTGTAGTTGGTTGTTGCATAGGGGAGCCTCCCTCCTTTACCCGATTGTAGTTGCTCATTGCATAAAGGAGTTTGAGCCGAAAAACCTTTTCTCCCTTTCTTTTAACCCTCAAATGCGGGTAATTTTGTCATTTTGAAAATATTTAATGTACACCTAATGTCATGTGCCTGTATTGATTAACGGCTATTAACGGAAAGGGACCTCGTAGGGCACATACATGGCGGGTTAGGGTTTTATTAAAATTGAAAGTTTAGGAAAGGGAACTAGGTGGCACTCTTATCTTATTTGCTAGTTTGTCATACCCAAATTGCGAGGAGGTGGTCTGAAATATAGGTTAAATAATTGAATAAGTATCTTGAACTCTCAAAAATAAACACTTAGGCCCACCCGTTAGTATTCTATCAGTTAAACATTATATAATGCCAAAAATACCCTTCTCACGTACTTCTAAGATCATTCTCAGGTAATCGAACGTCTCCCCATGATGACGTTCTCACTAGGGGTGGATTCGAGTCGAGCCAAGCCAAATAGTACTAGGCTCGAGCTTGGCTCGAGTAAAAAATTCATAAGCTCGAGCTCAACTCGGCTTGAGCTCGATTTTGGGAATTTTTTTTTTATAAAAATAAAAATTATATATAATTTTTTTTTTATTTTATATTTAAAAATTAAGAATTATAATAATTAATAATTATGATATTTTGGGAAATTGTCAAAAATTCACCATGAGTTTTCAGCATTTCTCTTAAACTCACCATAACTTTTCAAAATGTCTAAAACTCACCATGTCACTAACTTGATGTTAAAGAGACTAGCGACTGTTAATATGTTACCATTTTAACCTTCATAGAAAAATATAAAATATAAACATATATAAAGTATATACATATATTTTAATATTTAGATATGAAAAAAAGGAAATGTTCAAATAATATTTTCAAATATAAAATACATAAAAACACAGAAAATTGCAAAAAATATAAAAAATTATAGAAATTGCACACAAAATAAAAAAATATTTTCAAATTATAGAAACTATAGAAATTGAAAAACAAAATCAGAAAATAAAAATTGTAGAAAAAATGCCAAAAATTATAGAAAACATAGAAATTTCAAATAAATAAAAAAAATATAGGAAACTTTATAGGTTGTAGAAAATAGAAAAAAGTAAAAAACAGAAATTGTAACAAAACACTAAAATTTAATAAAAAAAGAAAATTGAAAAATGAAAAAGACCCTTTTCCTCTAACTCACCATTCAAGGGTGATTTGGTCATAAAAATTGTTATTTATGCTGACGTGGGCACCTCTATTAAAAAACATTAACGGTGCACTAACGGAAGGTGAGTTTTGGAAAATAAAAACTTTCTAACATGGTGAATTTTAGACAATTTCCCTAATATTTTTATTATATATATATATATATATATATATTTGAACCGACTCGCGAGCCTCTAGGGCTGTTCACGGGTCGGGTTGGGTCGGTTTACTGAGGTTTTTCCAACCAACCTGACCTGGTCGGGTTACTTGAGATGGAAACCGAAACCAACCCAGTGTTAAGCAAAACTGACCTGGTCGGTTTGAGTCGGGTTGGGTCGATTTGGGTCGGTTTTGGCTCTAAGTTCATCCATGCCCCCCATGGCCCATGTGCTTGTGTGGTGCAAGTTTTTATGTAAAACTGAAATATCTTTATTTAACAGTTTTAAATATAAAATATATTTAAATTAAAATCGAAATATATATTTACATAGATTAAGTCAATTTAATTTAAAATTGAAATATATATTTAAATAGTTAAGTAGGAACTAAGTCGGTTCAGTTCAGGTCAGTTTCGGTTTTCACAGAAGAAAACTGAAACCGACCCGAACCATCGGTTTATGAATTTGTACAACTCGAAATCGACCGCTACTAATGAAAACCTGGCCGACTCGGGTTGGGTCGGTTCAGATTGGTCGGTTTGGACCTTCTTATGAATAGCCCTACGAGCCTCACAAACTGAACTTATCTCGTTTAATAATCGAGCCACTGAATTGGGCTCGAGCTCGAGCAACTCCTATTTATTGCCACCCCTATTTCTCACATGGAAAACAAATAACATATTAAAATTTTGAAACGACAACATTCTCTGGTGATGATTTTACTTCATAGAATGATGTTAAAAATACATAAATACATGAGAAAGTATTTTTGACATTATATAATGTTGAAGTGACGAGAAACTAACGAATGGACTGAAGTGTCTATTTTTAAAAGTTTAGACTACTCAAATATTACAATTGAAAGTTCAAGGTATCTGTTACTTATTATCCCGAAAGTACAGGTACCTATACGTAATTTACCCTAAATAATTTAACTCGAATTAAAACATCCCCTTCCTGTCATGCTATCAAAGTATCGGCCAGTCTGCGACGGCCGGCAAAGTTTATAAAAACCCAGCAGAGACGGAGAGAGAAGAGAGATGGCAAAGAAGCCTGCAAAGTCGAAGAAGTCTCTCTCTGCGTCTTCCTCTGCTGACAAGTAATGAACTCTTAGTACTCTCTAATTCTCCTCTGTTCTTTCTACTTGTCTGGTATCGTGTTCATGGGTTCTTCTCTTTGTGTCAGGGAAAAGGCATTGAAGTTAAAATCACCAGAGAAGATGAAGAAGACTGTGAAGCCAATTAGAGTTAGCGAAATAGAAAAGAGACCAAAAAATCCCAAGAAGCCAAAAGCCAAGCCGAAGAAGAAGACAAAGAAAGAGGATGCCAACAAGCCCAAGAAACCCCCAACTGCTTTCTTCTTCTTCCTGTATGTCTCTCAATCAATCATGCTTTTTACATTTCCTCTTTTATTTCATTTACTTTGTTCTTTTTCTTTTCCTCAAAAATTTCTATGTTTTCTAGGATATTGCTTCAGGAATTGTTTCTGATGTTTGTAATCCACATTCTTCTTAATTGGGGAGTTGGGTTCTTACTCCTTGTTGAACATCTGACTAGAACAGTGTACTCGGTGATATATTATTCTGATTGTTTAACAACACTCAAAGAAAAGAAAAGGAAAGATGAAATGAATTTGCAAATAATTATTTGCTTCTGTTTTGGAGCCATTTGGTTTTGCTCTTCGCCCCTTTCCTGAAAGGGTCAACGAGAAAGTGTGTGTATGAGGTTCTGTATGTTTTCTCCTAAGCTCAACCACCTTTGTTCTGTAGCTATGGTGGTAAAGTAGGAGTGCTGCAGTGGAAATTGACCACTGCCATACAGCAGAAAGAATATTCAGCAGAGAAAGAAAAATAGTAGAAGAAATACTTTAATCATTATTTAGATCTAAATTTCTTGGGTAAAGTCTAAGAAGAAATTCTCTAGGTGCTAGTCCATGCAAGTCATCAGTTCCAAAAACTTAAAACGTACAAAGGTGAAATCTTGACTCAACATGCTGGATCCACTTTCATGCTTTGATAAGTTCTCTAGAAATAAAACCTTAAAACCTTTTTTTTTGTGTTTTTTGAGAGTAAAATAAAAAACTCCTTAAAAGAGAAGAAAAGAAAAGGCAGTATAGTTCGCAGGTGACAAGAAATCACCAAGACAAGAGGAATGGGAAATCCCCTTTACCACAACTAACCATGACTTATTTGGGCACTAGAAAAATCTCAATAGGCTATCCAGAATAAATAAAAAACGTACTTATAGAAATTATTGAGAACTAAAACTTGTTTGTGGACATGATTATCAAGAGTATCACTACACTTCTTGTCACTTCTGCTTCATAACATCAACTTCTGCAGGAGCAATTCCTCTTGGAGCCTACTTTTTAATGTAATTGTTGCAATTTCCATTCCCTGAATTGTGCTAAAATCTTAGAGAATATTCCAATTACTACATAAAAATGAGATTTTCCATGTATTATATATAGCTTAAGCATGATAAAAAATGTTACAGATATGAGAGAACATTAAACTCTTCTATTTATATCAATTTTTACAGTTTTGGTAAAATGGTTCATTTGGCAAAAGGAAAATTTTACTTAACTTTATAATTACTCAGTTGAACTCACTCAATCCCAACTGTTTGGGGTTGGCTATGTGAATCCCATCTTACTCACTATTTTATAACAGTATTTTAGAATTACTGTTAAAAAACAAATGTATATTTAAAAACAAAAAAATGCATAACATTGATTAAGAAATCATTACAATATTGACATACTGCATAGGGATATGTTGTGGAAATATTGATACACACCAATACCCAACATGGGTATTGGTGCATATCAATATGGTCGATACTCTTCATTTATTTATTTTTTATTTTTTATTTCATAATAATGAGAGGGTACCAGAAGAGGTTTGGGACCTTATAAAGTTTTCAAAATATTTTTGTATCGTTGTATCCAAGCATATTTGGAATTTGGATGCATCGATACTGATACCAATATGCCTGATATAGGGCATATCGTATTGATATTTTAATCCTTGAGTGTAGCAAGCAATTCAGCTCTAATAGAATCTCCTACTCTTACTAGGCTTTGGAATAAATCAATGACATGTCCTTCACCTTTCAACACCCCTCCTATTCCGGAGGAACCTAGGTTGCCTACTGCTTCTATCCAAATTTAACTTCAGATACCCTTTATGAGGAGGCATCAACACTGAGTTTACTTTCTTCTTTTGAGAAGAGCTTCTAGCCACTTCCTCCCAATTTCTCCAAATATCATCAAAAGTGAATTGCAAGAATGAGTCCATGGTTCTAATCCAACGTATTACTTTGGTCATCTGACATTCTTTCATTGCTTCTTTACTTCTCTCCCTCTCTGAGAATATTTTAACATTCTTTTCTTCCTAAATTGTCTCTATCAATGCTGCTCCCACACATTTCCACATGATCCTTCCCCTTTTCTTAGGCCAAATAAAGGTAGAAGGGTCAAAAAGCATCTTTATTTCCATTGGTAAACTCCACTTGTGCCCAAACAAAGAGAAAAACCAATCCCAAATATAAGTAGTAAAAGGATAGGAGATTAAGAGGTAATAACAACTCTCTCTACTGGATTTACAAAGAATGCACTGGTTTGGTGAAACACACAGAAAAGGTCTTCTATTTTGTAAAGTGTCCATAGTGTTAATCTTCCCATGACCCACTTCAATAAAAAGCTCCTACTTTGGGTGGAGTGTGTCTATATCAAACCTCCTGGGGGGGGGATAGGCAAAGAGAATTAGGGGGTGTTTTGTAATGTGGACGAGAAATTGGTGGGTATGGCCTAGTCCACACCACACCACTGTCTACAGTTGTTTTGAACTATGGACAAAATGTGTGGACTAAAACAGTCCACACCCAAAATAAATTGGAAACAATAATTCAAAAAATAATGGATAAAATAAACACCAATATGTAATTACTAGTAAATATAAAAAATATATTTGCCATATATGTCAAAGGAAAATAAAATCAAAATGAAAAAAAAACTATGGTGAAACCTAAAAAATTTTATGCTAATTATCAGCTCTGGTGGAGGGGAGTGGTGGTGGGAGCTACTTTGGAAGAGAAAACAAGCTTCTGTTTGGTTTTCCAATGGAGAGCAAGAGAGATAGCTAGGCTCACATACCTGTTCCAGTTCCAGACCGGTTGGTGAACTTGGCGGAGGAGTGGATTTGTTAATGGCGGTCCGGTAGCATAGAATGACGGAGGATACAGGAAGGTCCCCTGTTTTAGCAGAGAACGGAAAAGAGTGTGCTATGGCTTGACAATGTTAAAAGAGAGGAGTTTAGGACAAAAATGTGATGCATTAAATCATAAAAACCGGTTTGGCAACTATGGATGGTCCCCATCCATGAGATAAATGTGGGGACGATAAATTGGTGAGCAGATAGTCCTTATCCACAAGATATTGTGGATGGGGACCATCCATAGTGAACCGAATGCATCATTCTCTCACGGAATGGACCAAAATGGTCCTGTCCACAAGATAAACACGAAAGTGAATGCCACCTTAAATAGGGAGACAAAAGAAAAACGACCTTTGGGATTGGGAGTCCAAATATTTTTGTTCAGTTTGGATGGGTCCAAGCACACACTGTCAAGGAGTTGTAACAAACCAGTCCATAAAGTAAGTTCACGAGGGTGGCAATTTGTGTTCACGTGTCATGCCAAGGTGGGATTGGGAGTCCAGATACTTCTGTCCGCTTTGGAGGGGTCCAAGCACACACTCTCAAGGAGTTGTAACAAACTAGTCAATAAAGAAAGTTCTTGAGGGTGGCAATTCTTGTTCACGTGTTGTGTTAAGGTAGGAGTATTCGGATATGGATCGACACGATTAATTAATCATGTCAAATTTTCAAACATGAACATGAACTATTTATTACACGGGTAATATGACATTGCCCGCGTAACCCATATTAACACGATTAATCTATTTAATTATGTACTAACATGTATAATCTGAATTAACACAAAATACTCACGATTAAAATGTTTAAATTAAACAATAAATATATATAAATAGTAAAATAAACATTCAATCATCCATTACCTAAATGAATTCATAAAAACCTTCAATGTCATCCTTAACTACGTTAATAGTATTTCAACCAAATATACATGCATGATCTAATACTCAACTTTGGGTTGCCATGATTTTGATACAAACGCGATTAAGGTAAACCCAAACCCACTAACTTCATGTCGTGTTTGGGTCATGTGTTCATGTGTTGTGCCAAATATTGCTAGCCCTAAGTTCACCATCCTTCAATCTTCGATGGAAACCAAAATCCCAATTGTGACCCACAAGAGAAAAAGGGGTGACAAAGAGCTGGTCTAGTGGTCGAACCGAAAAACTTGGCTAACTCAACTCATTCAAAAAAGTTAAGGCATATGTGAACACTTAAATTGTTAGGTGCCTGGACAAGGGCGTGCATTAGGAGACTGCTTTCTTGGTCTATCATCTTGCTTTTTTGACTTCTAGAGCCCCTCCCACTGTTGCAACAACTGAAAAAATTTTCAAACCTATATCAAAAACCTCAGGGAGGTCAAATGGATCAAAGGGGGCTTTGGAATCTAATCTGGCTTGGAAACTGGTGTCCTTGAAGAATGTTACAACTCTGGGTAAACCCAACCCAAAGTTTTTTAGGCATTCTCGTGAAGATTCAGAGGAAGATAGCGATTGGGAAGACTTGTGATAGGAGGAAGATTATGAAGTGGGTAAACCATCTAGCATAGGAAGGTAGGACTCCACAAAAACCTACAAGTTCTGGGATGATGAAGACTATGTAACAAAGCTCTTTCTTGAAGACCCCTCTAGTGAAAACTCTTTGGCTCTGAGAGAAGGTAGGTTTGAAGTTTGAACTGCCTGCCTTAAACTTGGGGCGGTTTTAGATGTAGTCGGAAGGGAATTGAATGAACAACCAGCAAAGGCATAGGTTTAGGGTGTCCGTACATGGGATCTTGATATCAACACGGACCAAAGTACGGAAGCACAAGAGGAACAGACAACTGATGCTATGCATGCTTTACCTGACAAGGATAACTCTTTAGTAGAAAGAACCCCAAGGAAGGCTTATGAAAGCTTGGAGCAGGGAGTCTCTCACCCTATCCCCCCTTCTGTTCCTTTACTTGTTGTTTCTTCATCTGTCCCTATTACTTCCCCTAATTTTGCCTCCTCTGTTCTTGCAGATTCAGCTAGAATTTTACCTTATTAGAAGGCTTTTGACTAAAGTTCCACAAACCTTGGGGTTGGAGAATCTTTGGATAATGGTTTTGAGGAAGAGAGGAATAAAATCATGAATTTAATCCTAGAAAACCTTTTTGTTTTGGCCTTAGATC